CTCCTATTTATACAAAGTTTGTCAATATATTTTAATTTCATTTACGTTATAAAATTATAAAAAGATATATATAAAAAAAGTAAATAAATAGGTTTGATATATATTTCTGGTCTTGCAAAAATGAATTTCATAAATGATATGTATCTTATAAAATTCAGAAGTGAAAATTTGAGTGATGTTCAATTTGCTTTCATCATATCAATGAGTGACGCTGTAGATATATTTTCAAAGATCTGTTAGGTAAAAAATTTTCATCTTGTAAACCATCATTTTTGAATGGGATGCAGTTAGATGAATATAATGAAGATTTAAAATTAGCATTCAAATTTCATGATATTCAACACTATAATCAGAATAATTTATATCACAAAAATTGAGATGATCTAGATAATTAAAGAAAATGCAATCAAAAAAAGTGAAATATATGCAAAAGAGAGGATATAGATCTCATTATAATTCTTATAGTTACAATTTATTATCATATATAAAAAGTAAATTGCAAAAGAAAGATTATTTATCATATAAAGAATAAATATTACTTATCTTGATTAGAATAAAAGATAAAGGCATGCCCATATATGTATATAATATCAATAAGACATCTAAAAAGTCATCAGAATAAATGAAGAGTAATAAATATTCACCAGACTACCCATTTAGGATGCTTATAAATGAAAGCTCAAATGATGAAAAAACTAACATGAGAATAAATCTCATGCTTGATGACAAACTACAATGCATGTTTGATGGAAAAAAAGGTGATCAGTATATTAGAAATGATGATTTCAGATTAGTAACCAAATATTTTGAATCAAAATGGTAACTTGTACAAAATAGCTATTGGATTTTTGCAAATGCTCCAAAACCATATCGAAAAGATGTTACATTTAAATAGATATTATCAGATAAGATTCCAGATCTAATCAAATTCTCTCCAGAATGAAGTATAGTTATTATTTTTGAGAATCTATGTGCTAAATCCAAAAAAGTGCAAGAATAAATTATTTCTTACTTCATTAGTGATTAGCATCAAGATATCTCACTCATATATATAAGTCAGAAATATATCCAAATTCCTAAAATTTCTGTGAAAATATCTCACATTTATATCTATTTTGAAGATTGAGTAGTAGAGATGATATTAGTAGAATCATACGTCAATATATAGATGATCCAAAAAAGGTATTCAAGATTATTGATAAATATTTACAGAATCAAAAATTCGTGATTTTTGATTTTACTAAGCCAGTTAGTAATTCTTTAGCAATTAGACTGGATTGGAATATCTCATTAAAATTAGTATAATATCTCATTTTCTCATGATTTCATCACTCGAAACTAGATATTATAGTTAATAATATATTATTTTCAATTAATTAATTATATATCTTTTTTTGAATTTGAGAGAAAAAAGGAAATAACTATGACTCACCCTCTTATTATTCCAGAATTGCTCAAAAACATATTCAGTGTCTTAGTCAAGGATAAAGCACTCTATCTTGCTTTATTTATCAATAGCCTTTGGTATCATTACAGTGCTCTAATTCTATGAAAACATATTGAGTTTTTATAGAAGATTATCAACAGAACTAATATAATAAAAATATATCTGGATCTCTTTATTGGCAATTAAGAAAGTTTAAAAGAGTTATATGTGAAAAGACAAAACCTTTCTATTGCTCAAAGATGATGTATCTCAAATTGGCAGGTTTAAAAATCTCGAATACATTACTTAGTGAAATTTTGTGCTCATGTCCAAATATAAACTTTCTTATTCTTGATTGAAGTTATAGTTTTAGTAATATACCAATTATAGAAATTGCAAAATATTGTTTGAAGCTACTATATTTAAGTCTTGATGCATATAAAGCTATTACTGATAAATATATATTTAAAATAACACGATCTTGTCTGAAATTAGAATATATAAGTCTTGCTTCCATGTATAAATATAATACAAATTTTACTGATGCATTTGTAATTAAAATAGCACAAACTTGCTCTAATCTAGTTTATTTAAACCTCTCTTTTCAACCTTTTATCAAAGATATATCAATTTATGCAATTACACGTTCATGTATAAAACTTCGATATCTAGACTTGTCTTTTGATTACAGAATTACAAATGGTGTTGTATGCGATATAGTCTATTCATGTTCAAATATTCAATATCTTATTTTTCAACATACTTATATTACTGATAAAATAATATATGATATTGCACATTATTGTTCTAATTTACTAGTTCTCAATGTGAATGACTGTTAGCGTATCTCTAAAAAATCAATTAATTTTCTATTAAGCAAAAAACTGAAACTAGATATAATACTTTGAAATCAGATAAAGTAAGGCATAACAATCGAATAATTATTTTTTTAGTTATTTATTAATATAATAATATAAGTACATTCTACTTGTTACTTCTATTAAGAAGCTGTTCATATCCAGCTGTAATTAAAATTGGGGTGGATAATTTTAACATCTTATTCGCTACTATTCTTGAATGAAATAGCTATCAGTATTCAGTCTAATTGAAGTTGAAGTAAATATGGAAAAAATAAATAAATTCTATAGTTTATTTGTACTGAGAGATTTTTTGTGTTGGGTAAAATAACCGTATATAAAAACTAAAGTAAAAAATGTTACAAGTCTCAGGAATAATAAAATAAAGTCTAAAGTATTATACTTCTATTTCTAAAAGTCACTTTTGAAATCTAACTTGCAATTGACTCTTTAAAATCTATCCAATTATTCAGAATATAATATTCTTTATATTGTCTATTAATAATGGAACTATGCATTATGAAATTGTTTTTATATAATTCAATCTATTTAGTACACCATTGATCAAATTGTTCTTGAGTTTGAGGATTTTTTATTTTATGTCGAGTTAAATCTAAAAATTTCTTATTATCTGAAGTATTATCATTTGGTAAACTTAATCAAGCAAGACGTGCATTTGATGGTACTCTTTCTTTGAGCAGTTTGTATAATTCTCACATATCCATCTCGAGATTTAGGTTTATCACTAAAGATGGCATGGTAACTGCAACATGGTGACAAATAAAGCATCACCTAGTTGTAACTAATTGCGGCTTATAAAATTTTGGAGTTACAACGTGTTGCAACAGGTGACAAATAAGTATCACGTACTTGCTGTACTATCTCTATTTATCACACTCATGATCCCAATATTTCTGCATCAAATTATTTGGCTCAATAATTTTGACATATCTATTTCTAGTGAAATAGAATGATTTCTTTAGTTGTATGTCATCAATTTTTATGAGTTTCCAGCAATCAAAGCAAATAATCATATGACTTTTATGGATTCTTGGCCTATAATAATTGAAATTAACAAATTTATCTTTATCAAACGATACAAATAAACATAGCTAGTGATATACACTAAATTTTTCAGCATTTAATAGATTCTGTAAAGATACTTTGACCTGTATTGCCCATTGAACCAGTATTTCATTCTGTTTTATAATAGATAATGTATCAAATAATCTCTTATTATTGAAGAGTTTATCATATTATTTTTCATTAAAAGCAAAATAATTTCCAATATATGACATGACATATTTTATATCATATTCAGGATGAATGTTAGAGTTTGGGTAATGTTCTATCTTTCTTATCAAAAATAGTTATAACACCAAAACCAGACATATTTATTACTTATAGAGAATAATATATTTAGTGGTTTTAATGTTTTTGACCTATTAGATTTGGTACGATATATATGATTAAAACTGATTCATTTTTAGTACAGATGCTTGAAGAGTGTCTCATAGGATCTGGTTATTAAATGAGTTATGTATAATCATCGTATTTTGCGAGTGATGCATATGATGAGATCAATCAAAATTTTGATTTATTTACGTGCGATTAGGCAGGTTAACTGCTAGATAATGGATAACTAATAACAATTAATGAATTGATAAGTGTTAGTTCATTTTGACACTGCACGTTTCATGTAGACGTATGATTAAATAGCGATAAAGCTTACAAAAAATCAGGTCATTTAATCAGTGCATATAATTTATATGATACTACATATAGTTGTGAAATAATAGAATTATAACTTTTATTAATGTATGAATTCGGACGTGACATCGATGTTACTGGCGCAGTAACATGGCGCAGTAACGCTCATATTCTATTTTCCTTTTTTAAAACTTCGACTATCACATAATCAATATTTTCTTGACTTAAGTTTGAAATGTTTGATGCCGAAAATGATCTAATGCCTCTTATTTTCTCTTTACCAATACTAACAAATAAATTATATATTTTTCCTGCTCGCTCCTTTCTTTTTTTCAATGCATCGTTGGTGATATTATCAGGGAGTTGTTTCCAAATTTCGTCATTAACAAGAGCCAAGCAAGCTCGATCTCCATGTTTCAGATTCTTATAATGATCGAAACATCTTTTCATAGCTTCACCAAAATTAAAATAACTTCCCTATTTGCTATCTCACTTTTAGATTCAGTCTGCGTAATTTTGCTATAATGATACAAAAAATTATTGGTGTTTTCGTTGACTTCTATTGCTTTTTCAGAATTTTCAGGTATCGTTGATGTCAATTCCTCAATAAGTTTTTTTAATATA